ATTTTTTAACAATATAGAAACGTTTGCATCTTTGTTATGGTCGAGTGTGGATGCTTTGCATTTAGACACCATAACTTTAACGGATTTTTCGAATTCTTTAGCTAAATTATTCGGAAGGGTATATTTCCCCTTTGATTTTATTAAAATATGAAGAAAAATGCCACTCGTAGTCTAATTAGGTAATGTGGCAAACAATTTAATTGTAAGAGTGACACTGGATATATCAAAATTATAAAAATTTGAATCGCTGGTTTGTAAATTTTGATTACTACGTTTTCACGCAGTCAAGATTTATTTTTAATAATTAGCTTGTTTATAATATTGTTATATGCACATTGATAGATTGCACAAAATCAGACTACCCCAGAAGTAACTGAAAATACTTGTGACGGGGTTGTCTCGCTCCGCTTCTTCTCTTCTTTTCTTTTTCTCGAGTCTCGAGATTTACAATAAATCTACAAGGATAAGGATAATTAGCTATAAGTGTCTCCTTGAACCTGAAACGAAAAGTGTTTTAGCCTCTTGATAACACAAAAACGTGATACGACAAACACGTCATTTTGTTACTACGATAGTCATAGACAATGTATTTAAATTCTGATTCTACATTTAAAAATTTATTATATTCTATCGTAATTTCACATTATCCTACCAAATTTTTCATTTTTAGTTTTTGTAAAAAAAAACATCAAAATTTTCCATTTTCTCCTGTGATTTTCGATTCAAAATGAATTTACGTCGATTATTGTTATTCCTCCGCTCTTTTATTATGATCCCGTCCCTCAATTGCAATGGGTTTTTTAAACTTCCTTGCCTTATAGTATAGTAAGTATAAGGCTTATACGGTCGCGGTCGCGACCATGCCTTTTTTGGTCGCCTAGTTTGTGTTGAAAGAACAAAACAATTACAATAAAAAGTAGGGTACGTACAAGGTAATTATAACAAGACATTCATACTAAAAACAAATATTTTTATTTGAATACACATATATAATATGATAACACGCATCTGCCTTTGTTAATTTACTCCACTAACCCATTTTTTACTCGTAAAATTGTTCTAACATTAACATTCCGACAGTGATTTTACTCTTGTTTTCAAGAACCAATGTCGTGTAAAACGTTTTGGATAAATAACTTTATTTTATTTTGTAATAATGCAAAAAAATTATAATATTAATATTAATAAAAATACTAGTTTAACTAAAGAGTATGTGAATATTGAAGAGGCGATCAATGATATCGGTGAGTAGGATTGTACGAGTAATAAATGCTACAGTTTTGGATTACAAATATTTAGGTTTATTAATGTATTTAATAAAATACTAATAAACTTTGGAAAGGCAAGAAAAATACAGAAACAAAATCAAAATATTCTATAATTGCTAGTAAAATTTTAACTTAAATCAAAACCGTTGTACAAATAGGTTTTCAGTAGAATCGTACGATAGAGTCATGAGCTATTGCTGAGCTAATTTCTTATTTTGCCTTATTTAGTGAAGATTTCTCAATATTACGAAAATTGTTTTTTTTTTATGGTAAATGTGTAGTAATCCTTGTATGGGCTAAGGCGTCTGGTAAACAGTGTACTGACCGTAGGTAGTGAGGGTTCATATTCCCGACGTTCGACTCGATTTAATTAATTTGCAGAAATTTTAAATAACGCACCCTAAGCACCTGACTTTCTCGACGCTTTTGTAGAGTGCCTAAATGGTTTTTTGTACATTGTGTTTTGTACATTCAGTGATCGTTGTGTTCTTTCTATTTGAAGTGTAATAAAATATATATATATTTTTTTAATAATAATAATTTTTATTTGACCAAAATAAATATTACAGTGTAGGACATTTCAGTTTAACATAGATCTTAGACAATAATTAGACTAAATTAAACTAGCGTAAATTTATAGTTGTGTTATTTTATTCTTATTGTATTAAGATTTTGTTAAAAACTTTAGTCGCTGCCTGCCTGAACTAGGGTAAACCTGTGTTTCAGGCGATCGCTTGACATGGAATTTTTAAGGTGGAAATGTAAGATAAACATAACAGATCACTAGAAAATATAAAAAATACTACAAAGTGTACACGTACGAAAGCAAATAATAGAAAATAATATTATACAAAAACTACTTAAGACTCATTTAACAATTGCCAATACATTTTCTGTGTCTGCATAGTTAAATTTACCTATTCTGATAACATGATCATACATTTTTTATTATTGAGGCTGTATATATTTAGTATTCTATTAATTTTATTGTATAAAAAGGTCCTAAAAATAAATAAAATCTATAAACAAATGTATGACTAGCTTGAGGCCTGCTACACACAATTTCCTTCCTTCTCTTATTTGATGGTATGGGGTTATAGGGAAGTTCAGTATGCTGTTTTAGAATGCTGTGCAAAATAAATAACTGTCGCACTGTTAGTACATTACATGCAGTGTAAAGCTCGTGTGTGGGAAATATGAATGGGCGGAATGTCGCCACCTTCAGAATGGCTCTTTGAGCGCGCTCTAAGGGCAGTAATATTGACTTTGCTGCACCACCCATTGAAGTAATGCAATAAGTAAGTATTGATTGACACAACGATAAATAGACTTGCCTTAATAATGTGTAATTGGCTACACTGCGGAGACTCTTAAATATATATATTAATTTTCGTACCCTTGTACATAATAAGTCAACGTGTTTACGGAAATTCAAATGTTGGTCAAGGATGACACCTAGATATTTCACTTCATCGGAGTTTGCTAAAGCAGGGCAGGTACACGCATAGTCAGCAGATTTTTTGCAGCTATGTGCGTATATCTTTGGACTAATTATAGGTATGTTTGTACCCCTCATTGAAAATATAATGTATTTGGTTTTATCTGTATTTAGGGTTAGTAGATTTTTATATAGCCAGTTAGTCACTATGTTAAAGCCTGTCTGAGCGAGCTCAAAAACTTTACTACGAGATTTAGCTGCAAATAATAAAGCCGTGTCATCCGCATAAGATATTATGACACCACTTGGTATCTTCAGGCTGCAGAGGTCATTGATATAAACAAGGAACAAGGTACAGCCCAGAACGCTGCCCTGGGGAAAACCATAGCCAGTGTTCTTTGCTTCAGTACTTAAGTATTGACCAATTTTCACACATTGACGGCGATCACTAAGATAATCCGAAAATAAGCGAAGTTGTGTTCCCCGTATCCCAAGTGCTTCGAGCTTATTCAAAAGTATAGAGCAAGATATACTTTTTCTTTTTTTTTTTTTTTCCGTGCGGAAATCCGCGGAACCGACTAAAACCGCACGCCGTCTCGGGTACTAATAGCCGGGGAACCAGGTATACCCTAGAAAGGAAGTCCCTGGTGCCCAGAGCAAGATATACTATCGAAAGCTTTGGCGAGGTCTAGGAAAATCAGCCCATCCAGACAACCAGCTATGTAGTTTGTTAAGTGGTGTACTGCATGATTAGTCGATCTTTTCTGCCTAAAGCCGTATTGGTTCTGGGAAAGCAAGTTGTTGTCTTCAAGGTATTTTATCAACCTGTTGTTTATAAGATTCTCTAAAATTTTCGAAAGTCCCGATAATACTGAGATTGGTCTTTAGCTATTTACACATGTTTTATCTCCTGATTTAAATACAGGCGTCACTACTACTTTTTTAAGCGACTTAGGGAATACACCTTTCTCTAAACATAATTGGAATATATAGGTTAAGGGGGGGGCAATTATATGTTTAAGACTTTTAAGTATATTATGGGAAATGTTATCCCAACCCACAGCACAATTTTGTTTTAATCCAGATATAATGTTTAATACTTCATTAATATCAGGACTTAGCAAAACAAAGGAGTTCAGTTTAGACGAAGGCATGAATTTATTTAATTCGGGGGGGTCGGCAGTACTATTCTGAAAGAGTTTATCAGCAAGGTTTTTGCCTGTCTTTGCAAAATGTTCGTTGACCTTGCCAATTGCTTCGGACGGGCTAGTTTAATAAATTTCCAGACAAGCTTGCTATCTTTACCTGCTCTCTGCAGTTCACTTCTCTCATACTGGCTCTTTAATTTCTTTAAAAGGTTGTTGCAGAAATTTCTGTACCTTTTATAAGATATAGAAAGTACAATATTATCAGGCTCTAATTTAGACTTTTGGTTAAGTTTGTCTCGGTGTCTTATGCAACGTACGAGTCCAGGTGTGATCCATGGTTTTATTTTTATATTTTCTAGGTATGGTTTTTACGAAAGTATTTCTCATTATTGTAGGTACATTGCAATAAATTAATAAAATAATCCAAGGCATCATTTGGATCGTCCGAGTTGTAAACGGGGTCAAAACAAATACTGCTTATATCACTCTTAAGGCTTTGAATGTTGACTTTAGTATAGCTGTGCATGCATTTTTTTCTAAACAAAGATAATTGTAGTGTTAATAAAATAGTCTGATGGTCGCTAAAATGTACCATATTTTATTATCTCTCTCGTGATGGTAAGTGACTATCGTCACCCATTGACACCTGCAACTCAAGAGACACAAGTGAATTACCACCCTTTGAGTGCTCGCCCACCTCGTATTAGGGGAATAATATCTGTGAGGCCGTGGTATCACTCTGGTCAAGCCCGCCCATGTGTCGAAGCATGGCTCTCCCACGTCCTTATTAAAAATAATCTGGTATATATATTACCCCCTTTTTATGAAACCAAGTTTAGCATAACTTGTTATACGTACTATAGTTTTTAAACGTGAATAAAACAATCATTAGTGTGTAAATTTATGCATACTATTCTTTGATGACATACCGTATGGCGAGGACAAACAAGTAGAATATCGTTTAAATTTATATTGTTGACTTTATACTAGCAACCACCGCTTGCCTGTGTTTATTAAGCACAATAAAATAAATAAAAGCCATTTTGTTAGTTGGGATAAAATTAAATAAAAAAGAGTAACATATAAAAGAAGGACAACACATTACACTGAAATACTTTATGTCGAAGATTCGAATATATAGGCGCGATGGTGAAAAAAAGTTTCGATGTTAGTGTGGTGATGAAAGAAAATGTTGAATTGGAGAATGCTTTTGATGATACCGGTGAGTACAGTCTTTAAATACAGCAATTTTTACTCTAATACGCCAAAAATACGGTAAAGTTTTCAAGTCAATTTTTATATTCAATAATTTGATGCCCTTATTTTATTATTCTGCCTGCTTTGTATTACCACGAGGACTTAATATTAGTAACGTTCGTTAAGAACTGCAATATTTGTGTATTAAGTTATAGGCTCCTGCTAAAGTATCCTGCCATCACATTAAATTATTGTAAAATGTACCACTAGATAGATACTTTTGTTTGTTGATTAAACTTGACTGCTGAATGCTATTTAAACTATACCTAAAACTATATATAACTATATATAAAATAATATATATTTTATTGTACTTATGTTGTACTCCTTGCACAGTTAGTTGTGTATTTATATGAATTATTATCATTACTTATATAAGTGTATATATGTACGTTGCCTTGACACCCTCTGCAGTCTAAATGGCTTTAATAAAATCAGCTCAACAGAAAATAAATATCATATATAAACCATTAATGTGAATGTACAGAGAAGTTCTTAACCGCTAGAAAAACTAATTGACATCAAATCTAACTTTGTTTTAATGTGAATTTTTTAAAAGTCTTTAATATAAACTTAAATTAAAACTAAAAAAAGACGATGTGGATTAATAAAACATTTATTTATTTTTATTTATTTAACTTAATGCACAAGTTGTACACAGGCGGACTTAATGCTCAAGGCATTCTCTGCCAGTCGACCTTCGGGTGATGTAGAAAAATGATGCTGTAGGTGCAAGAGAAAACAGATAATTTGACTTGTTTATATTAAATTTATTAATTTAAGATGAATCTAAATAATCTTACATGTATACACTATATACTATAAATAAAATACTACATTCATTACTACACATATACATAGAGGTATGTATGCTTTGGAAATACCTTAGCCTGTTTCCAAAAAAGTTTCTCTGTGGCTTATGAGATAAGATGATGTAACCATCAGTTAGTTAACTTCTATTGTACTGTAACTGTTTATTCTACAACCATGTCTATTCAACATTCCAATATTGACTAGTTAAATATTGAATAGTAACTCTATTTATTGAAAAGACAACTCCCGCATTAGAAATATATCCTGTGTCGCGGGGAACTTTACAAACATATATGAAACGGAGACAAAGAACACTCAGACTTAGAACTACAATTTGTGGATCTGACAAAGTATCGTTCTATGTGAGGATCGAACCCACAACACTCAGCGTAGTAGGAAGTGGCGTGGCGACAGCTAATAATAATAAATATATTACATTATATGTACATATAACAGTAGTTGAATTAAGACACCTTGAAATTGTTTAATTACTTGCAATTAGAATCATATTTTCATCCATCTGAAAAAATGTATTTTTTATGGTACATGAGACAAACACTGTCCGTATGGTGATGGATTAAGAATACGGAATGTCACCAACCCTAATTATCCCGTGTGTGTCGTAAGAGCCGACTAAGGGAGCAAACTACGCAGGATAACAGCCATGTAAAAAGAAGGAAAACTTGATAAAAAACCGGTCGGGCCAGCATGGTATAATAGACAAAAACCTCGTTGCTAAGGAGAGGCTTATGTCCAGCAGTGGACTATTAAAGGCTGTTGATGTGATGATGATGTGAGGCAAACAAGCGGACAGGTCACCTGATGACACAGACACCTAAAAGTCAAGAGATACAAGTAAGTCTCTTCTCTTTAAGTTCTCCTTCCAGAATTAGGAGATTTTTTTGTTGATGGCATGGATTATCCCCAGACAGAGTTCAATAAGATGTAAATGCGATTGTAAGTGCAATTGGCAAGCTGTGGAAGTCAAAGTTCTGTACTAAACGGGTGATTGAGATGATGACTAAAATTATAAACTTAGTCCAAGAATAATAAAAATAACTCCACACATCTCACACACAGCAGTCTGATTCCAAACTCGGCAGAGCCTGTATTATGGTAACCAGACTGCTGATAAACATCTCCTTCTTCTCAGCCCAAAAACGTCCACTGTTCGACATAGGCCTCAACCAAAGGTTCGCCACAATAACCGGTTCCGTTCTGCCCGCGTCCAACGGCTTCCCGCCACCTTTACCTTTAACCTTTCGTCGGACCATAAATCAAAGAATAATCTGTCAGACTGCTGATAAACATACTTAAATATTTCTAAACACATGCATATTTTAGACAAATTACACCAAGATACAGAATAAATAATCGAACCCCGGCGATCGACTTCCGGCATAGCGGTCAGGGTCAATAGCCACTAGACCAATAGGCCCGGCAAATATATGAATTTAAATACAATAGGGAATATGCACGTGACACCAAAATGCACAAAATATTTTTATTTGTAATTTTTATTGCTAAAAAAAGATACCCATACAATTATTTTTGAAATTTATTATAATTAAATATTGAAATAAAATCTAATTTATAAAAAATTGGCTTTTTTAAGATTCCCTCGCAAATTTCTAAAACGTAACGCTATTGGTTGAACAAAACGTGACGTCAACCTACACTGTCAAGAGTGTCAACAAGTTGTATGTATTTGTAATATTTGGTTTCTGGTGATTTTTTTGTTTCATTTTAAGTTAATAACTAATACGTTTTCAGTGTTAAATTATTAAATTCCCGTGTAGAAAGACTCAACACAATGACTGAAACCGGTTTTGTCAAAGCACAATCAGATAATCTTCCTAAAATAGACGTGTTTATGATGAGCACCTATTTCGCATCTAATTCAGATTTTACGTCTGCTGAACTCAGAGGAGCAAAAGCTGCGAGGTAAACAAGTTATATAAATTTTATTAAATGATCGTTTTCATGGTTTTCTTAATAGTAGTAGAACATAAATATAACCTATATAATATCAACAACCTATATAATATAATATGAGCGTATGCTCAGGTCTTCGATCAACAGTTGCTATTGTTGATCGAAGGCTCAGGTGCAGTTGTAGTAACTAATTTATGTCTTAAACTAGCTGTGCCCACCGCTCTGCTCACTTTAATAATTTAGTTAATTAATATTATGACATTAAAAATAATAAAATAGTTTTATAAATAAAAATCAACAAGCGGAGCCGAGTGCACAACATAGTTGACGCATGCGAAACCTATTGCCGCTTACGTACAGTGGCTACGGGGTTCGCATGGCCCGGTGCAGCACGCGGTCCGTCGCCGCGGGCGCATTTTTTAGTCTGAGACCGGCATCGACGGGAGATGCATATCCCCTGGCGTTCCGCTTCGCCTATCGCGCTTGCCTGTTTTAATTCCTAAGCTTTCAAATTATTCTGCTTATGCTTGACGCTTGTGCTTATTGTTTTATTATAGTGTGTGACAGAACTGTAGAACAACTAATAAACATTGTTGTTTGTGCAAAAAGTGATTTTTTATCGAGAATCCACCTACCAGTAACCACACCTATATTGGTGACCCCGAAGAAGAAAAATACGCAAGACTATGAGTACGGGTAAGAACGACGCAGCAGCGACCGGCGAAAGTTCCGGAACATACGTGCGTACACCCGGCAACGCAGGTTCTGACGATGCGCTCGGTGATCGGGGCGTGTTTAAAGTTGGCGTCAGAATACCTCCTTTCTGGCCAGAAGAACCAGCACTATGGTTTGCGCAAATGGAAGGACAGTTCGTCCTATCAGGTATTACTACAGACAGTACCAAATTTTATTACGTAGTGTCTCAGCTAGAAAATAGGTACGCCATTGAAGTGAAAGACATTATTAACTCACCCCCGACTGAAAATAAATACCTCAAGTTAAAGACTGAGTTAATAAGACGCCTCTCAGCTTCTCAAGAAAAAAAAGTACAACAGCTGTTAATGCATGAGGAGCTTGGCGACCGCAAGCCGTCACAATTCTGGCGACATCTCCGCACCTTAGCTGGTCCTACTGTACCAGATTCGTTTCTGTGTACCTTGTGGTCGAGCAGATTACCACAAAATATACAAACTGTAATAGCGTCGCAGCCTAACTTACCTATAGATTCTGTTGCAGATTTAGCCGATAGGGTGTACGAGATCGCGCCTCCTGGACCAGCCGTGGCTGTGGTATCAAGGAAGCACAACAGTGCTAGCAGTGGTCCGCTGAATGAACTAGCGAGGCAAGTAGCGGAGCTGACGCGAGAATTCGCTGCATTTAAAGGTCAGGTAAATTCCATTTCCCCAGCATATCGCGGTCGTAGCAGGGATAGAAAGCCTAACCCCGATCGCTGGCGTTCCCGATCGAAATCTAAGCCACGCATCGATGGATACTGCTGGTACCATAACCGTTTCGGCAACAAGGCTAACAGGTGTACAACGCCTTGTTCGTACTCGGGAAACAGCAACGGCAGCCGGAAGTAGCGGCTAGCGACTGCCTTGTAAATCCAAGCCGCTTTTTTATTACCGACCGTACCACTAAAATGTTATTTTTAATAGACACAGGGTCGGACCTGTGCGTATTCCCGAGGGCAGTCCTACGCCAGCGACGCAGCAGGACCGACTACCAATTACATGCAGCAAATGGTACTTTGATAAACACCTACGGCTGGATTCAATTCACCCTAAATTTAGGACTGCGACGCGACTTTCCTTGGCGATTCGTGGTAGCAGACGTTTCCAAACCAATCATAGGCGCTGACTTCCTGGCACACTATAACCTCCTTGTAGATATGAGGAACCACCGCCTGATTGATGGTCTAACGAGGCTCTCTGCAATAGCATCACCGGCAACGAAGTAAATACAGCAGATCGCTTCAGTAAAAGCAGTGACTGGTAACTCATGTTACCACCAGCTGTTACGTGAGTACCCAGACATTACCAGGCCCGCTGGTACCCAGCGCCAGGTAAAGCATGGAACAGTACACCATATTCGTACATCGCCTGGCCCTCCAGTATCAAGCCGCCCCCGTCGCCTGCCGCCAGATAAATTGAAGATCGCCCAGAAAGAGTTTGCTGAAATGCTAGAAAATGGAACAGCTCGCAGATCGGAGAGTCCTTGGTCATCTCCATTACACTTGACACCTAAAAAAGATGCTGGATGGCGCCCCTGTGGTGATTACAGAGCCTTGAATGCGAGAACCGTACCAGATAAGTACCCGATCCCACACGTCCAGGACTTTGCCTACCAGCTAGCAGGCACAAAGGTATATTCAAAGATAGATCTGATAAAGGCTTTTAATCAGATTCCCACCAATCCAGCTGATATAATGAAAACTGCAATAACCACGCCGTTTGGTTTATTTGAGTTCCCTTATATGACTTTCGGGCTACGCAATGCAGCGCAAACATTTCAGCGGTTTATAGATGAAGTCTTAAGGGAACTCCCTTTTTGTTACGGGTATATAGATGACATTTTAGTGTTCTCAGATTCTGAAATTCAGCATATCCAGCACCTACGACAGCTGTTCCAGCGGCTGGCAGAATATGGTATGTTGATTAACGCAGCAAAGTGTGAATTTGGCCAATCGACAATCACATTCCTAGGCCACGAAGTGTCTTCAAAAGGCGTTCGCCCGCTACCTGAAAAAGTCAAGGTAATTCAGACATTTCCTATACCTAAGACAGTGAAAGAAATGCGTCGATTCCTTGGTATGTATAATTTTTATCGAAGATTCGTTCCTGAAGCAGCAAATACACAGGCGCCTCTGAACATCTTTCTAACAGGCCCTAAGAAAAAAGGCTCGCAGAGTATCATCATGTCGCCAGAGATGCTAGAAGCATTTAACGCCTGTAAGTCAAGTTTGTCTCAAGCTGCCATGCTAACACACCCGGAATCAAACGCTGAGTTAGCTATACACTGTGACGCATCTGACGTCTCGATTGGGGCAGTTCTCCAACAAAAGTCGGGTGACGATTGGAAACCACTAGCGTTCTTTTCCAGGCGTCTATCACCAGCTCAAAAGAAGTATAGCCCGTACGACCGAGAGCTCCTGGCCATATACAATGCTATAAGACACTTTAGGCATATGGTCGAAGCCAGGCACTTCACAGTGTATACTGACCACAAACCGTTGACGTACGTATTTTCATCGAACCGCGACCAATGTTCTCCCAGACAATTCAGATACCTCGATTACATTTCTCAGTTCACGACGGATATACAGTATGTGGCCGGAAAAGATAATATTGTAGCAGACGCTTTGTCTAGGATAGAAGCAGTGTCATCACCCATTAGTTATAAGGAACTCGCACGTTCGCAGTCCACAGATCCTGAGCTGCAAGCGTTACTACACGAAGGTAGCACACTCAAACTCAAACATATCAAGACTACAGATACCGACGACAGAATATATTGTGATATCTCTACAACTAACTGTCGACCCTTTGTTACAAAGCCATTCAGAAGACAAGTTTTTGAGTCACTTCATGGTTTAAGTCACCCAGGTACAAGGGCGACCGTAAAGCTTTTGACAGAACGGTTTGTCTGGCCTGGCATGAGGAAGGATTGCAGGCAATGGGCTAGAGAATGCCTAGAATGCCAAAAATGCAAGATCTCTAGACATACCCATTCCCCAGTCGCTACCTTTCCTGTTCCTACTCATCGTTTTTCCCATGTCCACATGGACATAGTAGGTCCTTTACCAATTTCGTGTGATTTCAGGTACTGCCTCACGGTCGTTGACCGCTATACTCGATGGCCTGAGGCATATCCACTAACCGACATCGCTGCAGAGACATGCGCCCGTACCTTCATTGCTGGCTGGGTGTCTCGCTTCGGGTGTCCTCATCGCATCACTACCGACAGAGGAAGGCAGTTTGAATCAAAACTGTTTCACTCTCTGAGCCTAGTACTGGGAGCGCAGCACCGGCCCACAACGGCGTATCACCCTGCCTGCAATGGCATGGTGGAGCGCCTGCACCGTCAAATGAAGGCAGCAATCAAATGTCACGCCAACTCCAATTGGACTGAAGTTCTCCCGCTGGTTCTACTGGGTATCCGAAGCGCCTGGAAAGAAGACATCAAAGCTTCAGCTGCAGAGCTCGTATATGGTGAGCCGCTTCGCCTTCCAGGAGAATTCCTTAACCCTTCGCCCGCTGCCCTGGTCGACATCACCGACTTCGCGACACGCCTTCGACTACACATGTCGAAACTGTCACCGGAGCCCGCTAGCCGTCATGGAAGTAAGCCATTCTACATTCCAAGCAGCTTACCAACAGCAGAGTATGTGTTCCTACGGCAAGACGCTGTCCAACGTCCCCTTGACCCACCTTACACTGGCCCTTATAAGGTGCTGGGACGCGGCGTGAAGACCTTTAAGATCAACATAAACGGTCGCGAATCAACTGTCACTTTAGATAGACTGAAACCAGCTTATATGACCAGGGAAGACACGACCACATCCACCGAGGCACAGTCAGATGACATCGTGAAGAAGACCAAGTCTGGACGAGCAGTACGGTTCCCGGATTACTATCGACCGTAGCGTAGCACCGGTCTCAGCGGGGGGGTAGTGTAGTAACTAATTTATGTCTTAAACTAGCTGTGCCCACCGCTCTGCTCACTTTAATAATTTAGTTAATTAATATTATAACATTAAAAATAATAAAATAGTTTTATAAATAAAAATCAACAAGCGGAGCCGAGTGCACAACATAGTTGACGCATGCGAAACCTATTGCCGCTTACGTACAGTGGCTACGAGGTTCGCATGGCCCGGTGCAGCACGCGGTCCGTCGCCGCGGGCGCATTTTTTAGTCTGAGACCGGCATCGACGGGAGATGCATATCCACTGGCGTTCCGCTTCGCCTATCGCGCTTGCCTGTTTTAATTCCTAAGCTTTCAAATTATTCTGCTTATGCTTGACGCTTGTGCTTATTGTTTTATTATAGTGTGTGACAGAACTGTAGAACAACTAATAAACATTGTTGTTTGTGCAAAAAGTGATTTTTTATCGAGAATCCACCTACCAGTAACCACACCTATACAGTTTTGATATTATTTAGGCACAAAGGAACGGCACAATATTTATAATAAGTTTTTATTGGCTTTTCCATGGTAATAATTTAATTATTATCACTCACTTTTTTAAGTCTCAGAAACTTTGTGAACTTCACTCCGTTGTTGACATCGAATTCGTCTGAAAGTGTAATCTGACGTCATAAAAATAGCGCGCCAAAATGGACGTGTTCAAATTGCCCCAAAATGATAGTGATTTTAATAAAAAAAAATTTGCTTAACGGTTTATATTTCGGATGTGTTAGATTTATTTTTGGTAATGTAATAACTAGTAGAATCGTTAAAAAAAATAAAAAAAATACATGCATATTCCCTATTATAGTATTCGTCCTATTACATTATTTATCATTAAGTCCACTGTTTATTTTATATACCTTTTAATAATCTTTTTCTAAGATGATTGATAATAATAATTCAGATTACTGACACACAACGCCATCTAGTTTCAAACTAAGCAGATCTTGTACTATAAAAGATAGATGTCAATCTATCTTTTATAGTGATAGAATACTTACTTTTTTTTTGTAAATACATAATTATTAAACATAGAGAACACCTAAACTCCGAAACAAATATTTGCAGATCATACTAACGGTTTGTCCCACCCGAAACCTCAGCATAGCAGTCGCATAAACTACCCCTGCACCACCAAGACAGTCATGATATATTTAATAATAATTTTAACATTTTAGGTCATGGACGCTACAATCATATACTGCTGGTTACTTCCTGCATGATCACGATTGGCGCCGTGATGGATATGTTAGGCTACAGTTTAGTAATACCTGCTGCTAGTTGTGACCTAAACTTGACATTGGAGCAAGGCGGAATATTGAAATCCATCAGTTTTGCCGGTATGGACACTTATTTATATTACGAAGTAGTTTGTAGTTCAAAATAATTTGAAGACTCGACATTATTCACAAAAGCTCTTCATCATCTGAGCCTTTTCCCAAACTAGGTTGGGGTCTGCTTTGAGTTTTCTACGATATGGCTGAACTTCGTGTTTTGACGTGGAGGGGCAGCCATCAGACCTCCACAACCCAATTACTAGGTGATATCGAAGGTCTGTAGATAGACTGTTGTCTGTCCGTGTAGTGACGGATTAAGAATACGGAATGTCACTACCCCAATTCATCCCGTGGGTGTCGTAAGAGCCGACTAAGGGCGCAAAACAACGCAGGACACCAGCACTGCAAAAAGAAGGAAAACTTGACACAAACCCTATACCAACCCGTCTGGCCAGCGTGGTATAGTAGGCCAAAACCTCCTTTCTAAGGAGAGGCCTATGTCCAGCAGTGGACTATTAAAGGCTGTTGATGTGATGATGATGTGTAGATAGACTGTTGTCGGACTTTTTCGGACTTCAACTACCCGTAACGATTGCCACAGCCATTCATAGCAAGACCTATGACTTAACATGCTCTCCGACCCACGCAGAGCTCTCAATATGTTAGATTTAGATGGAAAAGAAAAAATATTTATTTTTGTTGTATTTCAGGTTACGTGTTTGCTATCCCTTGGGGTTACATCGCAGATACTAAAGGCAGAAGAATAACTATCCTAGTATCTTGCACGGCTGGGTTTGTTTTTTCTGCCTTGGCCAGCTTCTCAACCACTTTTACTATGATGCTGGTTCTTAAATTCCTGGCCAGTTGTTTGTAAGTTTATTTCATATTGAATTTGTAAATGTATTTCTAGTTATCATCTGTATTTTTTTTTCATTTGTTTTTTTTAAATATTTTCTTTAAGTATTTGAATTTCCGTAACGGATTAAGAATACAAAGTGTAACCACCCCTATTCATCCCGTGGGTGTCGTAAGAGCCGACTAAGGGAGCGAACTACGCAGGACAACAGCACTGCCGAGAGAAGGAAAACTTGACACAAACCATATACCAACCCGTCTGGCCAGCGTGGTATAGGAGGCCAGAACCTCCTTTCTATCATCGTCACATCACATCAACAATATGCCTCTCCTTAGAAAGGAGGTTTTGGCCTACTATACCACGCTGGCCAGACGGGTTGGTATAGGATTTTTTTCAAGTGTTCCTTCCCTCTGCAGTACTGTAGTCCTGCGTAGTTTGCTTCCTTAGTTCCTTTATGAAGAGGCCTATGGCCAGCAGTGGACTATTAAAGGCTGTTGGTGATGATGATGATCTGAGTTTTAGCAGTAATTAATATTTGATAATGGTAGTATAGTTAACAGTTTGAACTGAAATGTTGAATTAATTACCAGAATAAATTTTGACAATTTTCTTTAAATCAGTGGTGTCACGATTAATGTTATAAAATAGCATGTTTCTAATCGTAAGCATTACAGCTCAACAGCTTCTCTAACATTGATCACCACCTATCTTGGAGAGAGTACATGTAAAAACAAACGGAACAAATACATCTTCATACAAAACATCTCAAGTACAGGGTCAGATTTTGTTTGTTTCGGTAAGTAGAAGAGAAACAGAATTACATGCTAAATTTTAAAATTTGTGTTATTTCGATACTTTCTATTATAAATGTGATAGTGAGTTTAAGTATATGTTTGTTTGTTCCGCTGTCACGCCTTAACCACTAAACCGATTTTAAAAATTATTTTACCAATGAAAAGTTAAATTGTCAGGGAGTAACAATTGGTTACTTTTTATCGCGATAAACGGCATACACGCAAGCGGGTCCGCGGGCATAAGCTCGTCGTTTAATTGGTTTTTTAAACCTTTGAGTTGACGATATCACAGGCTGATTAATTATATAAATTCAGCAACCATTCGCGTCTGTGTGTTAGAATTTTAGTTAAAATGCGATGATACAATCAATCTGGTTAAAACAGGAAATTCAAAGTTAGGTCATAGATATTGATCGCATGGCTTTCCCGATTCGATCGTCGATCTGGGGGAACCTGAAATCACATGGCCCGGGTTTTTCCGAGAGCAGGGCGCCTGAGGCTGGCCGTCGGAGTGGTTTTTTTGTGAAAACACCACATACTTATACATATACATAAATGCACCGATGGCGTAGTTGTTTAAGCGGTCACCTCTGAGTGTCGTGGGTTCGATCCCTACATGGGACAACACTTTGTGTGACCACAAATTGTTGTTCTGAGTCTGGGTGTTCTTTGTGACCGTTTCATGTATGTTTGTAAAGTCCCCCGTGATACAGGATTTATTCCTAGTGCAGGAGTTGCTTAAAAAAAGCAAAAAAGAAAATACTCCTGGTACCTATATCCCGACAACAAAAAAAAGATATTGATCGCGTTCATTTTCGAGTAATAATATAACAAAATTCTGGTTTTACTTCTTACTTTTAACCATAATCATTGACTTTTTGATATATCGGTACGTGGTAATTAATTAATAAAGTGTGTTTCACTCAATCACTGGTTTATTGTCTTATTTTACAAGCTCTTATACATATGTGTATGGGTACCTAACTATTTACATTTTAAAACCATACATAACACTTTTACTGGTTACAGTTTTGGGATATCTGATATTACCTTTGGACTTCGCGATTTCTGTTCCATATTTAAATTGGTATAAATCATGGCGTCTATTCAGTTTTGTTATGTCTTTGCCTCTTGGATTGGGGGCGGTGATGTTGTATTTCTTAAGGGAAACCCCAAAGTTTTTGGTTTATAGAGGAGATTTTGATCAAGCTATAGATGTTTTAAGAGCCATGTTCAAAACTAATTATGGGAAAGACAAAGTGTACCCGGTAAGTTATACCTGTCATTCAATTTATGATATTGATTTTTTAGCTTATATGCAGCTTATAGGCATTTTCTACCAAAGGTTTTTCTGGAATATCTATTGATTTTTGTAAAAATTTCTAGATAAATCAAATAATGGAAATATTAACATTTACTTGAAAATTACAAAAAATGATTTTTAGAAATGTCAACACTAGGACTTTTCCATTTAACTTTTTTTTTCTACAATAACCAACTCTTTCCAAACTAAATCAACTATTGGCCGCTACACATCCGCTCCTCGAATTTAATTACACCTATCTGTAACACTTTTTACAACAAACGTAGAAATATTAGTGGCGCTATCAATGAATTTCCATTATTTTTAGGTAATCTCACTAATGAAACCATATAAATTACTAGAATCTTCATCTTTTTGGGATTCCGTGACCAGACAAGTAACACCGATATTTAAACCACCCTTACTTTGGAGATCACTACAGCTGTTTTTACTTCTTTCCATATGTTGCAGTACGTAAGTATTTTACCTCTATTGTAAAATGGAAAGTTTTGATGAATGGATGTTTATTGATAAAATACATAGAACGACTTTTTGTGACTTTTAAGTTTCAGGTGTCCATGGGCGGCAGTAGTTGCTTACCATCAGGTAACCCATCTGCTCGTTTGACCCTTTTTCCATAAAAAGAAAACGAGAATGATGAACGGATCTGAGATATAAATTTCTAAATTAATCCCTGGGCCTGTTGGTCTAGTGGTTAGACTGCTAAGCCGGAGGTCGTGGGTTCGATTCCCACCCAGTACAAATATTAGTGTGATGAGCACGATTGTTTGTTCTGTGTCAGGGTGTCATTTATCTATAATATGTATGTATTTAGAAATATATATGTATGTTTATCAGCAGTCTGGTTATCATAGTACAGGCTCCGCCTAATTTGGGATCAGACTGCCGTGTGCGAGATGTTTAAGGTTTATTATTATTATTAATCTAGAAGCCATTAACCAATCTAGACAACATTAAATATGTTATTTTTTCAGCAACAACGTGTTCTTTATGTGGTTCCCAACAATGGTGAACTCATTCTTCACAGCGTCGGACGAAGATTCCAACTTTTGCCAGAAAGTTGTCGCTAACATCACACCGATCAAATATAATGTTAGTATGAAAGCCTAACTAAAACGTAACTCACTAGCGTCATCATCAACAGCCTTTAACAGTCCTCTGCTGGACATAGGCCTCTCCTTAGAAAGGAGGTTTTGACCTACTATACCACACTGGCCAGACGGGTTGGTATAGAGTTTGTGTCAAATTTTCCTTCTTTTTGCAGTTTTGTTGTCCTTCATAATTTGCTCCCTTAGTCGGCTCTTACGACGGGATGAATGGGGGTGGTGACAATCCGTATTCTTAATCCGTCACCACACTGACTAGCGTTAATATATAAATAAAAATCGGTTGTCTGTAAAGTCGGTTTACTGACGATAGTTGAGCGTGACAACGTCATAAGAAAATACTGATGGAATGGTTGCATTTTACGAAAACATGTAAATGTATTATTGTATAGCAGCTGTCCACGCGGACGCATCGCTCACTCAAGTAGGTGAGAGAGAGAAGTCAAACTCTGCCGAATGCGGAGGCCGATTGTGCCTCTTTGTCGCTCGTTCCGCGCTCTCGATTGCACTTCAAGCCTTAAATGGAACGCCTCAGAGCGAGGTAACGCCGCATGAGTCATGTTTTTTCGTGCGTGCAGCCGGCTCCATCGAATTATAAGACGTTGTCACGTCAAAAAAAGAAAATTTCGAATAATATAATGCCATTGTTCTAGGATGTTTGTATAGAGAACAGCTCGATGAACACAATATACGCCGGGATGCTCCTTACTTTACTATCGACATCTTTAAACATCGCTGTTATTGCCTTTGCCAACTGGAGACGAACTTTGATTTTTACTTTCGTCTTCGTATCTGGTGTTTGCTGCATCACTGTCAATATGTTTTCCGATCGCATTATTAGTATGGTACTTTTCTGCACTATACAATTCACTTTGCTGTCTCTTGGTAGCATCTATTCATACTATGTTGACATCTTTCCGACTTCTTGCAGGTGAGTGTTGGATTTTATATTGAATTACTTTAGATACCTAAACGTGCTCGCTTTTGTAATAAATAATAAATTAAAGTATAAGCTGATAATGGTCTCTGAGAATTTAAGCGTGTAGATTTTCTTTTTAATTATGTACGTAAAAAAATTGGTAAATAATAATCGCTTATACAGACGATTCTCTGTTAGCTTAAAGAAAAAATGCGCTTATTTATAACTTAAAAATATATTATAAACAATGTGTATTAATTTGCTTATTTTAATATCTTGTGATGACTTAAAGTACAAAAATCAATGTGTTTAGTAACATATTAAGAGTACAAATAAAATATTGTATTTTGTGAATGGCTCACAATAGATAAAAACAAAACCAAAATATTCTCAAACAGCAATTGCCGTTCTTAAATTTATTTTAATTTTAATTTTAATTTATATATTGTTTATACATTTTTATTTTTATTAGGTTAAGCATTTCATGTTATAATTTAAAATGTGTTGTAAATTAAATAGATAATTTAGGAAATTATTTAATCCCTGATATAAAAGCAGATACCGCTTATAATAAAAACTTTCCGTGACCATGTCAAATCTTCCAAAACAATTTGAATAAAAAACTTTTGATAAAGTGGAATGATTTTCAAACTTCCGCATTACATGGAAGAGATTCTCTGTTGAGATTAAAATTCTCCTACTCCATGGGATTACAACAGAGCTTCGAAAACTGTTTTTGCATCTCATTCTCTTATTGTTTTTTCCTTTTAATAGAGGTCTTGCAACTAGTACAGGTGTGATGATTGCCCGAATGTTCTGCCTCAGCGGTGTATCTATAGTGGGATCTACAATCGTCGACAATTGCGAGCTTACATTCTACTGTTGGGCTGTATTCCTCTTTAGTGAGTTCACAATTTTTTTCATCTATCAATTTTATAGAAAACAAATAATGAAGATAGTTATTTATAGAATCAACCTAGATTTTAATTGACTGCACGAATGGTGTAGTGGATTAAGCGGTCGCCACGCCGCTTCCTACTACGTCGATTGCTGTGGGTTCAAACCCCAATTGGGACTACACTTTCTGTGATCCACAAATTGTTGTTTTGAGTCTGGGTGTTCTTTGTGTCCGTTTCATGTATGTTTGTAAAGTCTTCCGCGACACAGAATATATACCTAATGCGGTTGTTGTTTTTCAAAAGAAAAGAAAAACAAAACTATTGAAAGTTACAAGTCAAAACTCTAATAAATTTTTGATTTAATCTCATTCATTATCTAGATAACATTGTTAATATTAGAATTAATGTACAACATTTAAATTTACATGTTGTTTGTTTACTAGACGACGACCTTAACCCAAATAATGCGTTTCCGGCAAACAATTCTACCTCATGATTATCTTTCAAGGTCACATTTCATGGAAAATTTATGAACAATGAAACCAATTTGTTAACAAAGGATAATGGTGCCAATTCTGTTGTTCGAAAACTCTTTAAACTAAACTAAAAACCACAAAAAAAAAAAAAATGTCCTGTCAAATATTACGTTTTCAGAACAGAACTAAACAAATTTTTAGTTTGGTTTAGAGTTTTTTTTTTTAATTTAGTAAAAGACCATCTAACGTTCTATTTATTTGTCTAGGTGGGATTATAGCTGCTGTATTTCTTCCAAGAGAAGCAACCAAACAGGATATTTGTAAAACTTAAATATTTATTGTTATTGTAACTTAAATATTTATTGTATTGTAATTTTACGTTTCCGAAAAAAAAATGTGTAGGTATTTATTTCCTTGTTTACATTTAAAACCTAAGTAACCTTATGAATTTTTATTTTTATTATTTGCACCCACCCAAGTAGTTACGTGTATGTGTGTATGTGTGTGTGTGTGTGTGTCGCACTAACTTATGGAAAAGAAAAGAAATGATCAGAACAGAATTTTAGATAAAACATACGTGTATATCTATCTTATAATAATTCATTATATCTATATTTATTTATTTTATTTATTTATTTTAATTCTGTATGCACAAGCATGAGTTGTACAATGGTGGACTTAATGCCACAGGCATTTACAGTATAAATGTGTAAGTAAGTTTGTTTGTTATTAAACTTATTAATAAATATATAATATACTAGCCTTTATCGGTTATCGCGGTAAAAAGTAGCCCATGTTTCTTGCTGATAATTCGTGAAAGAATTTTTAAAATCGGTTTAGTGGTTTAGGCGCGAAAGCTTAACAAACAAACAAACTCACTTTCACATAAAAAATATAAGTATGGATTCAACATACACAACTAACAACTTTGTACAAAAATCTACATCCCATCAATAGAAACTGCCGTAGGTGCGGAATGAGGAACAAGACATTTTTTTTTTAGTTCCAGATTGAGCACCAAGTCAATATACCTATTGGTACTGTATGTACCTTTGTAGTGGAAAAGCTTAGGTGCTTTAAACAATAGGTGTTGAAAAAATTGGTGCAGAAAGAGGAATACTCCTGTTTTTTCGAGGATATGTATGAATGCATGTTTCTTTATCATGCGTTCACGCTTTGTTGCCTGAACGGTTTGAATGGCTTTAGCGTTTGAGATGTGGTTAAATTCATCTTAATTGTGAGAGTGACACTGGGTAGATAGAAATTATTGAAATCACTAGTTGGTAAAATTTAAGTTACTAACTTAATACTTTTGGTTATTATTACGTTATTGCTTTAAAAATCAGTATGTATCTTGAAGTATTGACTGCACGGATGGCGTAGTGGTTTAAGCGGTCGCCACGCCGCTTTCTATTGCGCGGAGTGTTGTGGGTTCAAACCCCACATGGGATAACACTTTGTGTGATCCACAAATTGTTGTTCTGAGTCTGGGTGTACTTTGTGTCCGTTTCATGTATGTTTGTAAAGTCCCCCGCGACACAGGATTTATTAATAGTGCGGGAGTTGTCTTTTTTAAAAGAAGAAGAAATATAAGTTTTTTTATGGCATGATGCCACTTATCAACTGCCCAGTCTATCTGACGTCCAGATTTTGACGTCACAACCAAATAAAGCTTTCATCATCATCATCATCATCAACAGCCTATACTAGTCCACTGCTGGACATAGGCCTCTCCTTAGAAAGGAGGTTTTGGCCTACTATACCACGCTGGCCAGGAGGTTATTAAACCTCCTTTCTAATAAAGCTTTACTATTTTTATATAAGCTGCAAACCAGCAGATCGGTCACCTGATCATCATCATCATTATCATCAACAGCCCTTAACAGTCCACTGCGGGACATAGGCCTCTCCATACAATGGAGCTTTTGGCCTACTATACCACGCGGGCCAGACGGCTTTGTATAGGGTTTGTTTCAAGTTTTCCTTGTTTTTGCAGTGCTGTTGTTTGGCAAAGTTTGCTACCTTGCTTGGGATGAATAGGGGCGGTGACACTCTGTATTCTTAATCCGTCAGCACACGGACAAGTAACCTGTAACAAGTGACTATCACCGCCGAGCTGTAAGCCAAGCATCAGAAATGCTTTGAAAGACAGAAGAAGTACGCTCTGTTCTTCAACGTTTGAAAGTCGTATCTGTTCAAAAATATAGCAGAAAACAATTTGTTTCAAAGATTCGTTGCTTAGTATAATTTCATTTTGTATTGTTTATTCTTTACATAATATATAAAGGATTCTTGTTTTCAACTGTATCAAGAACGTGAAGAGCGTTACAAATATTTATTGTGACTAAGTAGTAAATAATATTTCATTTAAATAAACGACTTTTAAATGAAGATCACTGAAAAGGAATAGAATTGCCGCTAACATTTTCAATTGATAAATTAGAATTACAAATACAAGTGCGCTATCTAAATTTAAATGGTTTTACATTGCGTATTGCTTTTGTGTCTGTCAGTATAGATTGGAATTAAAAAACTCCTGGAGGTAGATCTGCTGGAATAGATACGATTTATGTTCGAGAAAACTACGGAAAAGCATGCTTCTGTATGAAAGACCGATAACGCTATTGTGACCCTTGATTTGTAAGATCCAGGGGCGGCGGTGGATCGACCCTACAAGGAATAGAATGGGAACACCATGGTTCCCACACACAAGGGAGTCATCTACAATCAAGGGCATCTACAAGCGCGCGAGGTCCGTCGGGGTATCATTGATTTCGTTCCTGTAGGTGACATATATACATACACTGTTAATTTACTTGCACCATTAACAATATTTATGTATATATTTATTTAATAATAGGTCTTTACCTATGAAATTGCCGTTTTGTATGCAAAAAGTGAAATTACTTATATTTTCAAACTTTTTTGTTTCTGTTATTCGAAGTAATCACCCATGCAATCGACGCATCTTTGCCAACGCATTGGCAGTTTATTGATGCCCTTCTTGTAAAAATCAGCTGGACGGGAGGCAAAAAACACTGCAAAGGCATTTTGTACTGCCTCTCGGGAATTGATTTTTTTTACCCACTAAAAAGTTGTCTAAATTTTGGAAAAAGTAATAGTTGGTAGGTGCAAGGTCTGGTGGTCACATCTGCAACCAGCTTTGGTCAATCGGTCGTCCCCACTGCTCCTTCACGACAACGCGCGAGCCCATACTGCGCAACAGACAGTCTCCAAGCTGCAAGAGCTGGGGTTGGAAGCTCTCCCTCATCCGCCATACTCACCAGACCTTGCACCTACCGACTATTACTTTTTCCAAAATTTAGACAACTTTTTAGTGGGTAAAAAAATCAATTCCCGAGAGGCAGTACAAAATGCCTTTGAAGAGTTTGTTGCCTCCCGTCCAGCTGATTTTTACAAGATGGGCATCAATAAACTGCCAATGCGTTGGCAAAGATGCGTCGATTGCATGGGTGATTACTTAGAATAACAGAAATAAAAAAGTTTGAAAAAATAAGTACTTTCACTTATTGCATACAAAACGGCAATTTCATAGGTAAAGACCTAATATTTACATTATACAATATATAATTCTACACACATTATAGACAAACAAATAATACATTATTATATTATGTTGCAACTCTTTAATTTTTTTTTTTTTCGACTCGAACCGACTAAAACGCACGCCGTCTCAGGTTCCAGTAGTCGAGGAAGCAGGTGTACCCTAGAAAGGAAATCCCTGGTGCCAAGACGTATCTCGGGCCATCTACGACGGGTATACGACCCCCCCTGTGTGGGAACCCCCATGTTCCCTCTGTGCTTCCGGAAGGGCGCGCGCGCTTTGCAACGCGCTTGCCGCCTACCCGGCATGCTTCTGCTAGGGCCTGCGCTTATGGAGGACGGAGGTCGTTCTGCGACCTCCGGCGCCTGAGTCTTCTGCGGTACCTGGCGGGCCGGGAGTGTTCTAAACCTCTCCCGGTCCCGCTCCGCCATCTCCTTCGCAAGCATAACTTGCTCGCAGAAGGAGACGGCAGAGTTTCACGCACTCTCGCTCCGCACGATAGCCGCAATCAAGTCATCGAACGAGAGAACTCCCACTCCGATGGCCGCCACGAGGTCTCGCCTGTGCTCCACTATTATATTATCTTCCTATATAGTTATTTATATAGTGTTAATCGTATGTGTATTCTTTCTGTTGTGTTCTATTTACTTGTTACCGTTCTAACTATTCTATTGTGCCTTTTAAGTAAACTGTAATCTTTGTGTCGCGTGTGTAGTGTGAATATTAAAACTATACCGAAAAGGATTGTTTGCTTTATTGCTACTTATCAACCGTAAGTAACATTACAACCTAAACACCAAACTTCCTATTGTACACTTTGTTCCCCCACCGTTCAGTTTTTTTTTTTTCCGTTTTTTTAAAAAGACAACTCCCGCATTAGGAATATTATTATATCCTGTGTCGCGGGGGACTTTACAAACATACATGAAACGCACACGTTCTGGGTGTTCCCCAGACTCAGAACAACAATTTGTGGATCATACAAAGTGTCGCCCCGTGTCGGGTTTGAACCCACATCATTTGGCGTAGTAGGAAGCGGCGTGGTGACGGCTTAAACCAGTGCAGTTCAGTTATCTAATATATAAATATCTTGTGGTGTTTGTTGTCGCATTCCTCCTGATTTATATTTTTGTTTTTTTGCTAGTTATGAGAATAGATCGTAAAGTGTTTTTCACCCTCGTATTTTTTATTATAATTTGATTTATTTTCTGGCAGAACAACATTTACCGGGTCAGCCAGTAAATTATTGAATCTTATATTTTGTACGCCTGTAAAAACTACACCGAAATCCAAAATACATAGTGTCAATACATTTATTTGATCAAAATAATAACATTAATGCCAATTGGTATACTTCAATATGCTTTTTAGGGTTCCGTACCTCAGAAGGTAAAAAAGGGACCCTTATAAGATCACTTTCTTGTCGTGTGTCAATACCGATTTTCTCAGGAACGGGTAGACCTTTTTTTTTTGTTTTTTTTTGACGGTGTGGAAAATCCCTTCGGATCTCCGTTTCCTCGGGGCTAGGACCTAGGAGTATGTGGTGATTCCACTAAAAACCACCCCGAAGGCCGGCCTCAGGGGCTCTCTCTGGGAGGACCTGGACCATGTTATTTCAGGTCCACAGGAACGGGTAGACCTAGCAAGTTGAAATTTATACCAGATACTGAGGTCTATGGTTACTATTAGGTGTATGAAAATCAAGGTTCACTACAAATATTCGCGAAAATCTATGTAAAATCTAGGTAGGTACGGAACCCTCGGAG